TGTTATTAATATTACTTAATACAGAAAGAACACCTATATTTACGTTTTACATCACAATGATGTGTTATTAGTATTACTTAATACAGAAGAACAGCTATATTTAAGTTTTACATCACAATGATGTGTTATTAGTATTACTTAATACAGAAAGAACACCTATATTTAAGTTTTACGTCACAATGATGTGTTATTAATATTACTCAATACAGAAAGAACACCTATATTTAAGTTTTACATCACAATGATGCGTTATTAATATTACTTAATACAATGAATATATTCTTCTTAACAAATGTTATGAGGTTAGAGTATTCAACCTAGTCTGAGATATTCAAATTCTAATAACTGATTTCGCAGGTTTAAAATTTGTTTGCATAATACTTATAAAAACTGTCTTAAAAAACCAACACTCCTAAAAGCTACAATGCCCTGTTGTGGACTAGAAGATAGCTTGAGGGACAGCAAATACGGAGGCCCATGTTTCGCGTCCTGTTGCCACACAATCTCACGTCACACCTTCAAGAGATGAGTGCATTATAAGAATACCGATCAAATCTCCCTGTTCTATTAGAGTCGCCTTATAGCAGGAATTTGATGTTGTTGATCAGTTTTCTTCTACAAATAAACTAAATTTACACTTCTCACAATCAAAAGTCGGAACAACACAACGATATGAATATAACGTTTTACCCATAAAACACAAAATCTGCCAAACTTCAACCAGTTTTGGTAAATGTTAAAACCCAATCGGTTTTGGTAAATGTTAAAACCTAACCAGTTTTGGTAAATGTTAAAACCTAACCAGTTTTGGTAAATGTTAAAACCCAACCAGTTTTGGTAAATGTTAAAACCTAACCAGTTTTGGTAAATTTTAAAACCTAGCCAGTTTGGGTAAATTTTAAAACTCAACCAGTTTTGGTAAATGTTAAAACCTAACCAGTTTTGGTAAATGTTAAAACTCAACCAGTTTTGGTAAATGTTAAAACCCAACCAGTTTTGGTAAATGTTAAAACCTAACCAGTTTTGGTAAATGTTAAAACCTAACCAGTTTGGGTAAATTTTAAAACTCAACCAGTTTTGGTAAATGTTAAAACCCAACCAGTTTTGGTAAATGTTAAAACCTAACCAGTTTTGGTAAATGTTAAAACCCAACCAATTTGGGTAAATATTAAAACCCACTTCTAGATATTCAGCCGCGAATTATGTTTTCAGGCTAATCCACAATACATTGAACATATCAAAAGCCAGAAGAAATTATTCGTTAAACCTAAAGTCACTGCTTCAAGTAGTGACAAATGAAAAACTTTCTGAATAAACGTACACACTGCTGTATAAACTTGAAGTCACGAGTCGATCTTTACAAGAATGAATGAGCGGGTGAAATGTTTCGTGTGTGTGTGTACGACTTTTTTCCTTTTCTTTTGATGTATGTTTGCACAAGTGAACCAGATAGCAGATGTATGTGTATTCAGCTGAAATTCGACAAAAAAACTCCCATATGTTCTATGGCGAAATCTATTCGCTCGTATAAAGATGTCTCTCCCACTGGTCCAGGGGGTAAGTTTGCGGACTTATAACGTTAAGATCCGAAACTTCGATCTCCCTTTGGTGGACAGAGCGTAGAGATATAACAATGCGTAGCTTTGCGCTAAAACATACAAACAATTAAACACAAACAGATGGGCCCGCTGTATGTTTACAGACTTATAACGCTAAAATCCGGGGTTCGACTCCCCTTGGTGGACAGAGCGTAGAGATATAACAATGTGTAGCTTTACGCTAAAACATACAAACAAATAAACACAAACAGATGGGCCCGCTTGCGCACCTTACTCTCTAAATGCGCACGCGCGAGCGTACTTCATTTCAACGGACGTAAACGAAAGGCGAATGTAAATATACTTTATTAGACATTTTGTACAACAACAACATATTAAAAGCTTATCAAAGGTTTTAAAAAGGTTTAACGTTAGGTCGTAGAATAACATTCTAAGTTTATTTACTGATAGTATTAAGTACGGTAAAGTTTACCACTGACTAAACTAAAGTAAAACGCGTACGCAAGTTACAGTGTTAATTTATCTCTTTATGAGATACAGGTCGTGTAATAAACCCTTAACTAATGTTAGGCCTAAAACAAGTGGGCATACAGATTTTGGTGTCTGCGATTAGAATTCTTTTGTATTATCCTAGAAATCATGTATTTAAAGAAGTACTGTTTCAATAAAGATACGAATTTGACTGAAAATGTTTTGCGGGTCTCTTTTAGCTTTTGCGCATGTCCTCCCAAATGTTATTGTTATCGACATCGAAACCGTTCAGACTTCTTAGTACTTAGTCAATTAACATGTGGCTCATAGAGGGGTGACCGGAAGGTTCAAAGTTAGTGCTGCGATGGCACTGAACACGCTCAGCACTTTTAGCTGTGTGTGTGTTATAAGCATGACAGTCATTCCAGTTATTCGGATTAAAGCCGAACAAAGCCCTTGTGGCGACGGTTGCTTCTGACCGACTGCTTTACCTCTAGCTATAACTAAATACTAGGGATGGCTAAAACTGATCTCTAGTGGGCTGTGACGTCACCATTTAGACCACATTCGCATAGAAAGTTGTTCAGATTAAAATTTCCAATATCATATTTTACTCTTTAGGCTTAAGTTTGTAAATAGAGAAATAAGCTTGTGAGTACATAAAAATTATACCTACTCTTTGTCCAGGGATATTTTATCTTTATCCTAACTGTTTTGAATATGTTACTACCCAGCTTTTTCGATTTTTACAAGAAAAGAGAATGTTAGATCGTATAACCGACGACTGTAAGTTTTCTCAAGATTATAAAACATGGAATATGAATGTTCATTATTAACGTCTCAAGATAATAAAACATGGAATATGAATGTTCATTATTAACGTCTCAAGATAATAAAACATGGAATGTGAATGTTCATTATTAACGTCTCAAGATAATAAAACATGGAATATGAATGTTCATTATTAACGTCTCAAGATTATAAAACATGGAATATGAATGTTCATTATTAATGTCTCAAGATTATAGAACATGGAATATGAATGTTCATTATTAACGTCTCAAGATAATAAAACATGGAATATGAATGTTCATTATTAACGTCTCAAGATAATAAAACATGGAATATGAATGTTCATTATTAACGTCTCAAGATTATAAAACATGGAATATGAATGTTCATTATTAAGCGTTCAGCGTTCTCTTTTTTCTAAACTGTTACATCGATATATAAATGAGTTTCTTCATATTGTTACGTCTCCGTTCGTTCGTTAATTTTCCGTAAATTCGTTCCGACGAAACTTTAGCGCCACAAGTTCTTTCTTAAATAAAACTGGTTTATTCTTTCCGAATACAACTTTACGATACACTTAATTTCAACAGTGCTCTATAACAACGCTATAACTCACGTCTCACGTAACCAACAATATTCTTTCCACATACATTCAATTACTCATTCCCTTCTTCCGTCACGTTGTGAGCGTCTTATATATATACCGGTCTACCCCCAAACTAGTAGTCTCCCGATAATTCATGAAGGTTCAAGAAGGACGTGGCGTGATACTAGTCACGTGACCTCGCTGACGCAACAATATTAAACACGTAATACTTTATTATAGTATTTATCTTCACGTTCACAGATATCTCTAACAAAGACATTAGGGTAATACTGTATTGCCCCTAATTAACGCCCCTTTCTAATTATTGTCCTCACCCGGTACTTTTTTTATAAAGCTTACATTGTGTGAGAGCATTAGTAATACAACATATAATCCACTTTTATTACCGTAATTTGGATTTGAAAAAAAAAGAAACCACACACACTTACTAGCATTGAAATCAAACAAATCACATGTGAAAAATATAATCTGTAACTGCACAAATATTATAATTAGCGCCCCCTTTGCAGCTTGCAACGCCCCGGGGGCGTTAATTAGGGGCAATACAGTATTCATTTATTTGGGCTCGCTGAGAACTAATATTTGACGACTTTAAAATCCTCCAACTTACATTATATGCGTTTTACAGCTGTATAGAGTGTACCATAGGGTTAATACACGGTGTCCCAGAGATCTGGACCCATAGGGTTAATACAGGGTGTCCCAGAGATCTGGACCCATAGGGGGAAAATATACAATTTATTCTTTATTTATTCATTATTCAAATTGCATTCCATTAACAGCAATACACGCACATATTAGTTTTTGGTATATTGTGCCATCATGGTATATTCTTTCCTGAACCATGTACAACTGCCATTAGAAACGTGTTTGTTTAACTTTAAGAACATAATGTCTATTTTCCCTATGGGTCCAGACTTCTGGGACACCCCGTATTTTTAAGAATTTAAAACCAGCTTTCTGAGTTAATTGTTTTTTCTTGATATTTGGCAAGGAGCAAGATATAACCATTACTAATATTGGATGTCATTTGAGAAAGTAGCATACAACTTCGGATCATGTTTAAAATGTTTTTGAAACTGGATAATTGGATTTTTGCCTTGAAATCGGATAATTGGATTTTTGTCTTAAAATCTTACACATGCCGTGTAATTAGTAAACTAACACGACGACGTATCACCAAATTTAGGTTGGATTTAATGCTCTACGTCCATGATCAACAGGTGTTTGTCCCCCTGTAGGTGTCATGACAAAGAAAGATCCTAAAACAGTTATTAATATGGTAGTGTGTATAAAAATCCAAATAGCGTTTTATAGAGTAAAACGGACTACATTAACGCCACTCTGTGAGAAGCAGTTCTCAGTTCTGTGTTGCCGTCATCATACAAAAGCTAGCAGCTGAGTACATTAATACTAATTTCCCAGAAATAAGGGGAGGGGAGTCCATACACCGTACTACTAAGTGTGTGTGTACAATTCTATACGATCGATCTGAAATACACATACACTCTGAGTCAGCTAGAGCGTTAACGGTTTAGTAGGACTGAGAATATCTAACATTAGGGCAGTAAGCTACAATATTCTCTAGCGTCGTTTGCACGGTTTTAATCATAAGTACTGTTAAAGTGTTCAACAATGATACAGTTAGACGAACAAGATATTGTTAGCAGCACTTCCGTAGAGTTGATGACACAACCTCACTGGCCAGAGGAAGTATTGTTAGAAGATTATTTCTGTTGTTACAACAACTTGGGAAACAGAAGTAATGTTATTGTTCGCCTAACAAACGTCAGGCTTACGTGCGAGTTTATTTCACCTAAGAAAAAATCGCGGGTGACAAAGATTTACCTATGTGACGTCACAGGCTGCAAAATAAAGATGAACAACCTCAAGAACACCAGAGGCAATACATGTAGTTTGTGTTTAGAAGTTTACTATTATCCTGTTGTCCAGATCATGTGTGTGAAAAGACGTCTGCGTCATCAACTAAGCTTGACCGTGGAAAGAGCTAGTTCGTGGGACATAAACGAAAAACACATCTTGAAGTGGAGAAACGCCATCTTGTTTATGGCGTCAAGAAACCCGCAATTCCAAGATGAAATTAATGGAAGTAAGAATTACAATAGTTTATATTGGGAGGGAAGTGGATGGATACATTGGTAAAATTAATAGTCCTATTTACTTGTTCACCTTCTCTGTAAATTGGAAGCGAAGTGGATACATTGGTAAAATTAATAGTCCTATTTACTTGTATACTTTCACTGTAAATTGGGAGCTAAGTGGATACATTGGTAAAATTAATAGTCCTATTTACTTGTTCACCTTCTCTGTAAATTGGAAGCGAAGTGGATACATTGGTAAAATTAATAGTCATATTTACTTGTATACTTTCACTGTAAATTGTGAGGGAAATGGATACATTGGTAAAATTAATAGTCCTATTTACTTGTACAGCTTCATTGTAAATTGGGAGCGAAGTGGATACATTGGTAAAATTAATAGTCCTATTTACTTGTACACCTTCACTGAAAACTGGAAGCGAAGTGGATACATTGGTAAAAGTAAAAGTCCTATTTACTTGTTCACCTTCACTGTAAATTGGGAGGGAAGTGGATACATTAGTAAAATTAATAGTCCTATTTACTTGTTCCCCTTCACTGTAAATTGGGAGGGAAGTGGATACTTTGGTAAAATTAATATTCCTATTTACTTGTGTACTTTCACTGTAAATTGGGAGCGAAGTGGATACATTGGTAAAATTAATATTCCTATTTACTTGTATACTTTCACTGTAAATTGGAAGCGAAGTGGATACATTGGTAAAATTAATATTCCTATTTACTTGTATACCTTCACTGTAAATTGGAAGCGAAGTGGATACTTTGGTAAATTAATAGTCCTATTTACCCGTTCACCTTCACTGTAAATTGGAAGCGAAGTGGATACATTGGTAAAATTTATAGTCCTATTTACATGTAAATTGGAAGCGAAGTGGATACATTGGTAAAATTTATAGTCCTATTTACATGTAAATTGGAAGCGAAGTGGATACATTGGTAAAATTAATAGTCCTATTTACTTGTATACTTTCACTGTAAATTGGGAGTAAAGTAGATACATTAGTAAAATTTATAGTCCTATTTACATGTAAATTGGAAGCGAAGTGGATACATTGGTAAAATTGATAGTCCTATTTACTTGTATACTTTCACTGTAAATTGGGAGTGAAGTAGATACATTAGTAAAATTTATAGTCCTATTTACATGTAAATTGGAAGCGAAGTGGATACATTGGTAAAATTAATAGTCCTATTTACTTGTACACCTTCACTGTAAATTGGGAGCGAAGTGGATACATTGGTAAAATTAATAGTCCTATTTACTTGTTCACCTTCACTGTAAATTGGGAGCGAAGTGGATACATTGGTAAAATTAATAGTCCTATTTACTTGTATACTGCATGCACCTAGCTAAAGAAATTCAGCTTGATGGGGGAAAAATAATGTAGAATAATTAATAAATGTGTTTTTACGACCGACATTAGAAGGATGATGAGTAGAACTACGTAGGTTACTGAGATAAATCCTTATTTTACAATGTAATATATTTCTCAACTTTTAGCACGAAAATAACCCTTCCGAAACATTCAGTAATTTGAGATTGTGGTAAAGATATGGTAGACATACAGCATTATTTGTGTTGTTGCTTTCGTAGTGAAAAGGTACACAATGGCCTATCTGCACTCTGTCCACCGTGGAGAATCGAACTCCGGATTTGACCAATGTAAGTTCGTAATTTAGCCTTTGACCCACCGGGAGACAGATAGCATTATAAAGTTGGAATTTATTTAGATGTATCGCAAGAAAAACAAAACAAAAATACGTAGTTTATTAAAATATTTGTTTTTTATTGTTATATCCTAAAATATTGGCATTTACACTAATAAATCGTAATTACCTTTAAATGTTTAAAGTGATAATGAAAATTAGCTTAACAATACACGCTATGTACCACATTGTGAGCTTTAAACCACATATCTCTGCGTGATGACTATAATTGTATTTAATATTCATCCTATAAGGTGCATTTTCTGTGAATCCAAGTATTCATGGCTCGAATTTGGCCCGGCATGGCCAGGTGGTTAGGGCGCTTGACTCGTAAGCTGCGGGTCGTAGGTTCGAATCCCCATCACACCAAACATTTTAGCACTTTCAGCCGTGGGGGGCGTTATAATGTGACGGTCAATCCCACTATTCATCGGTAAAAGAGTAGCCCAAGAGTTGGCGGTGGGTGGTGACGACTAGCTGTCTTCCCTCTAGTCTCACGCTGCTAAATTATGGATAGCCCTCGTGTAGCTTCGCGCGAAATCCATAACAAACAAACAATTTGTCAACGCATTTTATTTAATATTTCTATTATCACAACATGCATGTTTTACTCTGAACACGAGTATAATGTGAGTGCTCTATAAGAGTGACAGTGAAATCCTACTATTCAGTGAGATAAAAGTATCTCAAGAGCTGGCGATGGGTGATGTTCGTTGGCTATTTGCTCTCCTTCTTACCCATCACTTCAAAATTAGGAAGGATTATGCACATCTAACCCTTTTCAGTTTGATGAATAATTTTCGACTTCGTATATTACCATATGTTCATATTTTGATTAGTGTTAGTGTTATGACGTATCTGTTGGAAGAGTTGTGTGAAGGCGCAGAAAAACCAACCAACCATGATAAAGAAATCGAATCGCTAAATACCGGACGCGTAGGTGTTCTTCCACCACACATTTTAGAGAGATTATAATGAAAATAACATAACGTTACAAGCAATTAATACGTACGGAAACGAAGGGAAAACGTTGGGCAGAAAACACGAAGTAATATCATGGTTTAAAAGGTCTTTGTTAGATTTTTCATATATTTATATTTTAACTACTTCCTGACTAAAATCATTAATCAAATAAATAATCACATTTGTATTTCTGGGAAGCGCGTTATTTATTTTTCTGTTTATTTCGAATTAAACTAAATCAGACTACATTTATGTGATTAACTGAGGTTATATTTTACAAATTAGCGTACTCCAGAGGTACGCACAAATAATTGGTGATAAGAAAATAAACAAATAAACGTTTTTTTTTAATTAAACAATAAATACACGATATTGTTTTATCGAATGTATAGAGCTGATAAATAATACTTAAATCAGTTAGACCAATCTTTTAAAATTTAGTCTAAACTATTAATGCCCGATGAATTCAAACATTTAAAGCGAATTACGATTAATATTACAGTTTCTAGTAAACGTAAGTTTAAAAGTTTTACCCGTTGAAAAATTAGCGTTTAATGATTCACATTTTTTCTCCACTATATTCAATAAACAGAGAAATACTCGATATTAGAAAGGTCACTTCCAAAGCGGCATATCTTAGTTGTCATTAATCCTGCTAGTGGCCGACAGAGGGCGCACAAGATTTTCAAGAGGAAGGTAGCTCCAATGTTGGAGGAAAGTGCAATAAGCTGGGATGTTATATTGTCAGGTTAGTGGATTGTTAGAATGGTAGTTATCTTGATTTCTATCATATTTTAACTAACTTAATAAGAACGAAACTCCAATAACTTGTACGGACATTTAAGATTTATTTCCACAAGCTAGTTTCATGACTACGAAAGATCTGGAAACTTGCAAGTTATTTAATTACACTGTTGATATGCGTGCTTTTGTTGTCCCTAAAAAGTCTATAAGTTGAATTTGTTCTTATAAATCAATAGCTCAGACTGTGCACTAATCCACGTTTGTATAATGATATTTTAACTAAACCAAATAAATAACTTTCCACTTACTAAAAAATGATAAATAAAACTGGAAAATTAATCCCAATGTAGAAAATATTGTTCTGATTATATTTCTCTATGTACAACCTTAGATCGCTGAACATGTTGCAGAGATTGTTCATGAGATGTTGTTCATTAAAAATAAATAGCAAAAACACTTACAGGAATTGTGCCCGGCATATGGCCAGGTGGTT